GGAACGAAAACATGCAACCCCCTTGTAGTCTTCCTCACCCTTGTGCAAGTATGATGATGGCCTTCCCCGCACTCTCTCCCAGGCTGAGCGATATTGGCATCCCAGGCAGAAGGATGAACAGGAGGAGAAGGATGATATGGAGGAGCTGAAGTGGAGAACGATGACATAAAGAGTAAAAGGACAAGGAGGAGAAAGATGACGGAGGAGGGACCATGGCCAACAAAACAGAAAGCAAAATGGGTATCAATGACGAGAAAGAAAAACGAAATCACCATAGCCTCCTCCTTTCCGTTTTCCCCTGCAGCTTCGTCACATCAGCATCCTCATCTTCCGACCTCCCTCTCGTCATCATCATCGTCATCTACTCTCTCCTCCCCCTCGTCTTCGTCCATCTACTCTCTCCTCCCTCTCGCCTTATCTTCGCATCATCATCATCCTTTCCCCGTTCCCTACTTTCCCCTGCTCTAGTGGAGGTAGGAGGATATTGACCTCCATGGCTCCCACATGGAAGTAGACAAAGCGGAGAGACGGATGACATGGAGGAAGACAGAAGAAACACGTGCAGGAGGAAGACATTGAACGGAAACAAAGAGAAGAAGGAATATGGTGAAGAAGCGAAATACAAAGAGAAAAGCCGAACTAATCAAGAGAGCCAAATGAAGCCGCCGCCATAGCCCTCTACTACGCCTTTTCACATCCCGCTTCTTCCTGCCGTCAGCAATGTCATATTCTTGCCCCGCCTCCTCATCATCTCACCCGGTGACAGCTAACCAAAGTACTCTCTCTCTCTCTCTCTCTCTCTCTCTCTCTCTCTCTCTCTCTCTCTCTCTCTCTCTCTCTCTCTCTGTCTCTGTGCGTGTGTGACGCAAAAATCAACAAAACTTGGCATAAGGTGGTCGTCTGGACTGAAACAACAACGTTAGTGAGAGAGATCGAAGGAAATGGCACGCAAGAAGAGCGGGGGGGGGGTCTGCACTGACGGGAGCTGAAGAAGACGGAGCTTAGGTCGCCGTGGAGAAGAGAGATCGGTAAAGCAGGTGAAGACGGATATTGCGAGAGAATGTCGAAAAATGGAGAGTTGAGTGCAAAAGAGGGAGGAGGAAGAAGAGGAGGAGACAGAACAAGATCGCGGCTTACCTCGTTTGCGCGGAGCTGTTCACCGCTCCTTCGACCAAAGAAAGAAGCTTCGATTTTTGGCGGGTTCCAACATGAACCTAGACCAGCACACTGCTCATGTTTGCCCGCGTCTCTCTCTCTCTCTCTCTCTCTCTCTCGGTGTGTGTGTCTGTGTGTGTGCCAAACACAGCCCCTCCCCACACCCTCATGCACGCACGAACGCGCACACACCGCACAACGCAAGCATGCACCACTGCGAGACCACCCACGCACGGCGGTAGGACCTGCAGGTACTGCTCGGCCTATTCTAAGTCCATCTGGGCCGTTGGCCTAGCGCTACCGGCCCGACGGCCTGGATTGCTTGGCGTTCCGACCCAGGGCGTTGACCCTGATTCGATAATCGATGATTGTCACATGCTTGCAAGGATACATTGTGGGCCGTGCACCGCAGGACTAGGGACGGCCGAGATATGAGCCAAGATTTGTTACATAGCGATTTATTTATTTATTTATTTTCCCCCCCCTTGGGAAAATAGCGGGCCTCGGGTAGGCGTCCGACCTTTTCAGAGGCCGAAACGAAATGACGGCCGCCGATCAGATTTATCAACGGCAGTCTTCGTCGGGCCCGACCTCCGAATATTCAGGAGTTGGGGCCTCGTTCCACTACCCTCGACTTGAAAAAAATCTCGAGGGGGCGCCCTTGAGCCAAAACGTAATTAAAAAGTACTAGAGGTCGTCGGCGTTCCACTGCACCCTGCAGTTTTGGGAGCGGGAAAATGTGCACCCCTGTTTGTCACGGAATTTTCACAACCCAGGTCCATCGCTGGGCCCCGACAACCACGATTGGCAAAAAAAAAAAAGAAAAGGACCGGACGGGGGGCCTGAACTGCTGCCTGGCGGTGCATATTGCCGCCGTTTCCAAGAAATTTCAAGTCACCTCCGGGAGGTGACTTGAAAATTGGCCGAAGTTGCCTCGGCACCCTGCAGCCGCCCTCGAGTTTCAGAGCGGGGTTTTGTTGAGGCGGGAAGCTTAATCGCTTTCCAATTGTGATTAACACATCGCAAGGGCCTAGTGGAACGGCGCCGTCCTTGAGATTTTTTCAAGTCGAGGGTACTGGAACGAGGCCCAGTTTTCCCTATTTTCCCACGCGGGAAAGTTACTAGGGAAAATTTGTCTGCCGCCCCTGTAATTTCCATTATTTTACATCGTCGCTCCGACGGGCGGCTTACCCTGCTGTGCCCCTGGGGCCTCTGAACTTTCATGCATGCCCCTGTCAGCAAGGGGCGCCGCTTTCTGTGGTGCCCTTACTGGACGGCCAGTCCCATTTCACGACATGTATGTTTCCGTCATGCCCTTGAGCCATAAATTCGGATTTAACCGATTTTGTATGTACCACAGAAAAAAAGGAGTTGGAAAAACATGCATGCGGGGGGCGCGGTCGCGAAAGGCGCTACGGTTGGCGCAGCAGCGCTCGACCCTAGCGTCGCTTGCCACGGCAAGCCTGACCGGCGGCGGGGGATTCCGGCGTGGAATTCCGGTCGCGCGTGACACCTCGATACTGTCGATTCGTCAATAGTCTATGGCGACCGCCATAGAGCATGGTGCCAGCGGTTAGATTTGTCCCGATCGCGCCCGTCTTCCCCCTTTTCAGTTGTTAGACCAGATTGTCGTCAACGAAGACGAGCCTTCGAGATAGAAGGTTTCGTTACGAGGTGTTGTTGAAGACCCTCTCCACTATGGAAGTAGAACAAGCTCAAGCTGAAGGGCAAGCTAAAGGAGATGGTCGTGCCCAAGTTCCAAGTGACTCTCGAATGGAGGAAGAAAGAGCTCAAGAGATGATATGGGTCTGTTATGAGAAGGGGATTCTGCCAACCAACATCGACCCAAGCGTGATGGAGGTGACGGGCAGAGAGGTGAAGTTTACCTTGAACTCTTCCCTCGACGAGATAAAAGTTAAATGGCTTAAAGAAAGGACGGTGACAATAATATTCCGGGATGGAGCCCGATTCCTTCCGAAGAAAGTGACGGAGGATGTAGTTCGGGCCTATGAGGACGTGTGGATCCGGGATGATGTATTTGGAGCGGAATTCAAGCGAGGGAGGATTAAAGTTGAAATTCGAACGTGATCTCCTACGTACCGAGATCTCAAGAAATCACCAACTGGATGCTCACGAAGAAATTAGACCACATCGACCTTGCGGCCATCACTTACCCCACGGAGTTTAAACCTTGGATGACATGCGCTGAAGTACGAGACTAGAGGAAGCTAGTTGATTAAGGATACCTTTAGGGTTGTGGCAGTGGGTGTACCGCTTGACGAGATGCCTTTTCTGCGTGTCCATGTGGAAGTTGGGATTGGCCATGTTGTTAAAGAACACAAGCCTGAGGCGGATGAAGCTGGCCCGAAATTGGTCAACCTTCGTTTTGACATTGACCCGGCAAAGAAGGCCAACATGAAGGATAAAATTTGGATGCAAACCCACCAAGGCGATCTACTTGAAGTCAGAATGTGTTGCATACCGTATAGGTGCAGACCAGAACAAGAACCGACCTTTCAATACAAAGTATGAGATAGCACAGCGGAAGACTTAGATACCAATGATCCGAACAATCAATATTGCAATGCAGCCCCAAACATACATCATCATCATCATTCCATGGTGTGAAG